TTACATTTATTTTCTGTCGATAATAATTTTTATAACTTAACAAAATTTGTTCAAATGTTTGTTTAAATCATTATTTATTTTTTAAATAAAAAAATAAATATATAATTTAATGTTTACATAAAAAATATAATAGAAAAAATTAATTATTTTATAAATGTTTTATTACACAAAGGAATATTCTAGAATAGAAAATACCATATGTTAGATCTATCTACCAATGCCAAGAAGACATTTGGACCGAGTTTTAACCGGCTTTTATCTCATTGGTCAATGTGTATTGCGTGGGGTCATTTTATTGGTGGATCACTAAAGTCTTTACTATATGAAAGTATCGTGGGTTAGATTATATGACAGTCGGCATAAAACAGCGGATCGTAGTGTTTGAAGTGAATTTGGGAATATTTCGCTTTTTTTCCTGCCATTATTCGGAAACAGTTCACGGCAGCAATGAGAAAAGCGTTAATATTGCTATCGATTCTCTTCTTTCTAACAGGTGAGTTTTAATAAAAAAAACTGTAATGTTATGGAAAAAATTGTTTCAAAATGCATATGTTAATTGAGCAAGAACATCAACATATCTTTGTTATATAGGATTTGTTAGAGCAGAGAATTTGATAGAAGAAGATATTGGAACTGTAGAAAATGATTTGAGTGCTAGCCGCGAAGGATCTCGAACGGGTAAAATATTTCGAAATTATTTATTTAATAACAATTGAATGAACCGTTCTTTTATCTTATATTCACATTTATATTAAAAATACTTTTTCATGATTTTGTTTGTAATATATTTTTTAACAAATAAAATTTAATTTAATTTATTAATTTATAATTAATTAAATTAATTTTACAGATAATGAAGTAATTCAAAGAGAAGAGGAAGCAATTAAACTTGATGGATTAAATGTGGCTCAAATTAAAGAACTCAGAGAAAAAGCTGAAAAATTTACTTTTCAGACTGAAGTCAATCGTATTATGAAACTTATTATAAACTCTTTGTATCGTAACAAAGATATTTTTTTGAGAGAGTTGATATCTAATGCATCTGATGCATTAGATAAAATCAGATTGCTCTCACTTACTGATAAAAATGTCTTGGATACCAATCCTGAACTAGCAATTAGAATAAAATCTGATAAAGAAAATAAAATATTAAGTATAACTGATTCTGGTATTGGTATGACCAAACATGAATTAATTAACAATCTTGGAACCATTGCTAAATCAGGAACTGCTGAGTTCTTGGGCAAAATGCAAGAAACTTCTAATACTCAAGATTTGAATGATATGATTGGTCAATTTGGAGTTGGTTTCTATTCTGCTTTCTTGGTTTCTCATACAGTAGTAGTTACCTCTAAGCATAATGAAGACAAACAACATATTTGGCAGTCTGATAGTAGCAGTTACAGCATTGTAGAAGATCCTAGGGGAAATACGTTAAAGAGAGGAACTACAGTGAGGTAAATACAATTTTTTTTACATTTTATTTTTTATAAAATTTGAAAATTTATAATTATATTTCAATTACAGTTTGCATTTAAAAGATGAAGCATTGGACTTTTTAGAAGAAGATACAATTAAAAATCTTGTAAAGAAATACTCACAATTTATCAATTTTCCCATATATTTATGGAGTAGCAAAGTCATTCAAGTAGATGAAGAAGAGGAAGAAGAAGAGAAACGAATAAAAGAAGATGAAAGTGAAAAAAAAGATTCTATTGAAGATAAAGTGGATGAGGAGGAGGATGCAAAAGTAGAAGATGTGGAGGAAGAAAAGAAAACAAAGAAGGTTGATAAAACTGTTTGGGACTGGGAATTGTTAAATGATTCTAAACCTATATGGACTTTAAAGCCATCTGAAGTTGAAGATAAAGATTATAATGATTTTTATAAGGTTTTAACAAAAGATACTCAGGATCCTTTAGCAAAAATCCATTTTGTAGCAGAAGGTGAAGTCACCTTCAAATCGCTTCTCTTTATTCCTAAAGTTCAGCCAAGTGATAGTTTTAATCGTTATGGCACTAAAGCAGACAATATTAAATTATATGTCAGAAGAGTTTTCATCACAGATAAATTTACAGATATGATGCCCAACTACTTATCCTTCATTCGTGGTATCGTTGATAGCGATGACTTACCATTAAACGTTTCACGTGAAAACTTACAGCAACATAAACTCATTAAGGTAATCAAGAAGAAATTGATTAGAAAAGTATTAGATATGATCAAAAAGATCCCTAAGGAAGATTATGAAAAATTCTGGAAAGAATACAGTACTAATATTAAATTGGGTGTAATTGAAGATGCTCAAAACAGAGCCAGATTATCCAAACTTTTATTATTTCAATCTTCTACACAAAAAGATTTTACATCATTATCAGATTATGTAACCCGAATGAAATCTAGTCAACAATACATTTATTATATTGCTGGCTCTTCTGAAGAAGAAGTAAAAAAATCTCCATTTGTAGAAAGATTAGATAAAAAGGGTTACGAAGTTCTATATCTCACTGAAGCAGTTGATGAATATGCTATTTCTGCTCTTCCTGAATTTGATGGTAAAAAGTTCCAGAACGTAGCTAAAGAAGGATTTTCGCTTGATGAAGGCGAAAAAGCCAAAGAAAGAATGGAACAATTGAAAACTACTTTTGAACCATTGGTTAAATGGCTGAATGATGTTTTGAAGGATTATATCAGTAAAGCTCAGGTTTCCGAACGTCTTACAGATTCTCCATGTGCTTTGGTTGCTAGTATGTTCGGATGGACAGGAAATATGGAAAGATTAGCTATTTCGAATGCTCATCAAAAGACTGATGATCCCCAAAAAAATTATTATTTGAATCAAAAAAAAACTCTGGAGATCAATCCAAGACATCCACTTATTAGAGAACTTTTACGTAGAGTGGAAGTTGATACTACTGATCAGACAGCAAAAGATATTGCATTGATGATGTTCAGAACGGCCACGCTTCGATCAGGATACATGCTCAGAGAAACTGCCAGTTTTGCGGATAGTGTAGAGCAGTTAATGAGAAAGACTTTAGGCATTTCTCTAGATGAAGTTCCTGAAGAGGAAGAAATACAAGAAGAAGAATCTGGACCAACAGAAAAACAAGATTCTGAAAAAATTATTGATATGGATGCAAATGAAGATGATCAAGATGAAGAAAAACATGATGAATTATAATTGAAAATTGTATCACATTAGACTATAATTTTCTAGTTGTATGGCTATACAATGTATAGTGATTGTCATTGAAGGTGCAACTATTGTTGCAACTATGTACAGAGTAAAAAATAGTTATATTCTTTGATGATGCTTTGCTGTCACATTGTTTTTTTTTTATAATAATATTGCAAATATGCATCAAAGGATATGATAATTGCAAGTATAGAAAAAAATATATCACTCATTAAGTTTGTCATAATACTTGTAGACTCATAAGTTCCATTTTTGGTAAAAAAAATTTATCCATAATTTATTTCGTTTGATCTTCCATCTTTTTATATATGTAAGTAAAGTGAAAGAAATTTCTGACTGAACCTAATAAATATATATAATAAGTTTATGATGGGATTGAATATTTTTCTATTTATATAAAAAATATTTAAAAAGATATTATTGAAATATATAATATCATTAGATTTTTTATATAAAGAGATTATTTATGATTACTTTTTTTTTTTAAAAATACAATATAAAAAATTCATCAATTGAAAAATTACCATAATATTCTTCATTTTCAAAGGTAAAAATAAAAAATAATTACTTAAATATTTTGTTTTAATACGAAACAATTTATATGTAATTTAAAGATGGATCTTTATATTTATCGAAATCAATAAACTATTGAGTTTAATAAAGTCAAATTTTTATTTTTTATGTATAGAAATTTAATGATTTATCATACTTTATTTTTTATAAAATATATCATATTGAACAATAAATTTAAAATTATCTGTATTCGATTTTAAATTTATAAAATAATAGTAAATATTATTATGAAATTTTAATCAAAATTATTTTAAATCCATTTTTTTGTTAATTCGTATTTTCAAAACAATGTTAAGTTATTCATTTCCGGCAAATACAATTGATTCTGATAAACGAACCAATAAGAGAATAAATTCCCATGGAACTGGGACAAACAACGTAGATATCCGAGCGCGGCCGAGCGCTCATTTCCGTTTTCGAATCCGACGTCATCTACTCTCAAAGCCCGTGTGTTTTGTGTTTCTTTGGGGCCACGATGATTATCGCTAATTTAATGTAAGTATTATCTTGTTTCATTTTACGATCGTTTAAATTATAATAATTAGAATTCGCATGGTGCCGTTTGTATAAAAAATTGGTCACGAAACCGCGCGAATTCCTTGCGTAAGTTTTACGAACAGAGATCTCGCCATGCCGGTCTATAAAGTCCCTTTTTCTTAAGCATGTTCAATTAATTGAGAAACGATAATAAAAACCATTGCCGGCTATCTTTCATTTTTGTTGTAACAATTGTCTTGAAAAAATCGATTAATTTGACTGAGATATGAAAACAGAACAAGACGGATGGCCACATATAAACAAAATAAATGGCGTCAGCATACTTATATTCTGAATATGACAAATTTCTCGAGTATTCTTTGACTAAGAATTTTGATTCTAACATTTTTTTTTTTTTTGAATGAAAATTTATTTTTGAATAAATTTAATGCATAATTATAAAAATTTTTCTTGTTATTACTAGGATATATATAATCGTTAAACGTTGTTTGATTTATTTCTTATATTAATATTTTCTATAAAAAATTTTTGATTTAGCAATGTGCAATTTGTCAAATTTTATAAACCATATTCTCTTCTGAATGATTTATTTTTAGCATTAAAAATATCATTACAAAGAAAAGAAAAAAGCTTGGTTTATGCAAATAATAGGTAATGTTTGTTTTTCAGATTGAAATTATTGAAACTGAAATTAGATTTTTTCGTATCTTAAAATTATCTAAAATAAAAAATTAATAAAATCATTTACTTATTTAATAAATTAAGCGAGAGAAAGATAATTGTAAAAATACGTAATAACAAAACAAACTTGATTAATAATTGGACTAAAAGAATTTTGAACAAAATGGGTATTCAAGATCTGCAAGTTTTTTTGGATAGTAATTATGTACAAGGTGGATCTATACCCGTGGATCTGTTAAAAATAGCACGTACTATTACTCAAAGACAACATAATCGCATTAGTAAAGCACAACAATTGCATTCTGGAAAATTAAGATTAGTTCTTGATGGAGAATGCTGTTTAGATAGGTTATATGGAGGATATTTCTCAGGTAGATATATATATATATATATATATATGTTTTTATTTTGCATAAATATTATTATATTAAACTAGTTATTTAAAAAAATTATTTTTTATTTAGATTGGGCTTGTGGAGGACAATGGAATAGAATGTTGCAATTTTTAGCTGTTCTCATACAAGCAACAGAAATGTCAGGTTTAGAATTAGCTGTATTCTTTAATGGATGTTTCGAATCTCCAAGACGTGCAGATTGGATTCTAAACCAATTGCAAGTGCGAATTAAAGTAAATAATGTAAGTAATAATATATTAAAATACTTGAAATCTTTAGAATTTATATAATTTTAGATATAAATGATTTTTCAGGTATTAAAACATATTTCAACCAAGGGTACTCCTCCACCAAAAATTTGGTGGACTCCACCAGTTTGTTTAAGAACAAGTCTACGTATGGCTTTACGGCATTTGAACGTTACAGTACTATGTAGTATGGATGATCACCATCAAGAAGTGATCGCATATTGTCGAGAGAATAATTTTAATGGCTTAATTGCTGACGATGCAGAATATGCTGCATTTGATCCTCCACGATATTTTTCATCTGAACAGTTAAAACTCACATATAAAGGCTCTCTTGACACCAAAGAGTATATTCTTCCAGAACTTTTAAAAGCTTTAAACATCCCTTCTGATAGACTATGTTTATTAGCTGCATTACTTGGCAATTATATTTTAACTGAGCATGACTTAGCTGATTTTTATAAAAAATTGAATGTTAATACTAATCTGAACAAAGTAAATGTTGATCATACAATTAAAACCATCGCTAATTTCGTTCGAGATTTACCATCTGTTGAATTGGATGTAGTTTCGCAAAAAGTTTTCGGATCTTTATCAGATCCAAGATGTTCAAAATTGAGGCAATCAGTTCAATACTATATAAATGGAACTAAAGATGGATTTTTGCATTATAAACCAGTGAAACCAAATAGAGGTAAATTCTTGTTTCAATTTAAAATTTGTGTATTTATTATCATACTTCAGTTTTAATGAAAAAATTATTTCAGTACACAAATTAGATTCTAAGCAAAGCGTTCAACAACAATCTAATTTATCTGAAACACCCTCAACTTCAGAAGCTGAATCGAATTTAGAAACATCTAGATTCGCGTCTGAGACTGTAGAAAGCGAACGCGAGAGTTTAAATGCATATAAGCAAGCCACTGCAAACGCGAAGTCTGCACCACAAATTGTGATAGATCCACCGGGTATCCAAGGTCATGGAGATGCTGATAATATTAGGACAGAAGAAGAACAAAATAATGGGCATGCTATTAATGGTACACACAATCTTTTAATTAGTTCATCAAGTTCGAGCAGTAGTTCTTCTGCAACATCTCCATCTCATGCGACGGCTGATTCATCGAAACAAATGGAGAAAACAATGACTATTCCTAGTACAGTACCAGAAGTAATGCGTACTGCATCTGAACGGCATCAGAAAGGTTTAATGTCTCCTCATATTTATCAAATTCTCATTGCTGGAGAAATAAAGCTGCCTGTTCTTCTCGAAGATGAAAATCATCGCGAATTTCCATCGATACATCTCATTTATAGACCTGTTAGACAAATGGTATATGCAATATTATTTAATCTTCATCACAGAATGTATTTAGCTGCTAAAAGTAAAGAGAAAGGAGGTAAGTAAAATTTATTTAGAGATATTTTGAAATTGATATATTTGTTAAATTATTTTCAATTAATAGATAGTGAAAAAATTGAAGTCCCAGATGTTGTAATAAAAGAGTGGGTATGGTCCAAATCAAATCCATATCTTACTCCGGAATCTGTAAAAGCAGAACAAATTGGTTGGGGTGTTCCTACAATACAACGTTTATGGTTTGGGTAAGTATTTTATACAATTATTCTTTTTAAAAAATTAAAAAGAATTTTATATTAATTTTTCATTTGCAGCACAGGTATAGATGATAAACGTCGTCGTTTACGTGGATTTCTGACTTGTATGAAATCAGATACACCTCTTATGTTAAACACTTCTTATGTACCACAACATCTTTTAGTCATGGCTTGTGTATTAAGGTAAATTATGATTTTTTTTTAAATGATTTTTTTTTAATAAATTTAAATAATATATTTTTATTATAGATATATTATGTCGTTTTCGGATAAAATAAAAGTTTTACGTCGTTGGGAATTAGATGCTTTCATTGCACAAGCATTTTCGCCAGAGCTTATGAACGCTCAGTATTTACAAGATCTCCAAGTAAGTCGAATAATTTTTATTAAACTAATAATATCAATTCTATGTTTTTATTTTTTTATTTTTTCGTGTAGCTCCCTTTAGTAACTTCACGTGGAGTGCAATTAGCCACTTTATTTATGGCCGGTGTTGAAACTGCTCTCTTAGCTAATGATGCTTGTGGTGCCCCAATCCCATGGTTAATGTGTTGTCCATGGTTATACTTTGATGGAAAACTATTTCATCATACATTAGCTCGAGCTAGGATTGCAAAAAATTTATTAGAACTTTGTGGTGGCCATATAGATCGTATCGTGAAAGTCGAACGGATGAAGAAAGCTATTTTAGAAGGTACCAATGTTATTTTTGCACGAGCACCACCAGTTGGTCCAGGTAAATCGATTTTTTTATTATTGTTAATTTTAAAATAATGAATGTATTATAAGTATTTTTATGAGTTTGAATCCTTAATCAATTGTTTCAGCATTTCTCTTCCAATAACCTTAGCATATCATGTACTTGTTTAATGATATGTTTTCGGAATGGAAGAAAAGAAATACAGCTACATTGCTTCGTGAACTTAATGTATTACAATACAGTTTACGAATCTCAAAGCTGTTATAATATTTTTATTATATTTAATTCTTAAAATATTTAATTTCTCTTTTTTTTTTTTTTTTTTTTTTTGCAATAGGTATTCGCATGTCTGTACCTCAGAATATTCTGACTCCTGGATGTACAATCAATGATGGTTTAATGCGCGGAAGAGGCAGTGGAACTATACCTCAACGTGGATTGATGCGACGTCCTATACCATCCCGCGGTGGACAATTAGAAATTGCTGGAGTCGTCGTTGGACAGTGGGGTCCAAATTATGGACAACCTGGTCGTTTACCTCAGCCTCTACAGGGACATCCTCGCGGACGGCTTCCACCTCAAGTACGTAATTTGTATAGTATGTAGTAGTAATAAATTCTTTATGAAGAATAATTATTAGGAAAAATAAAATTCTACAAAATTAATATAAATAAATTCGAATAACAATAAAAATAATCTATAAATAATAAGAAAAATAAATATAAAAAAATAATAATAATGAATAGAATAAATAATTTTCAGGAATATATTTTTATAATTAATTCTAAAATAAATTAAAATTATTCTGTGTAATATTTTAAAAAATAAATGTGTGTGTGGTTCCAGGTAACTTCAATTGGTGGTCTTAAATATGGTCTCCCTCGTGGTTTCACTCCTATGGGTCGTCCCACATTTCAAACGCGGGGAAACAATCGTGCGCAAATCGCAGGACGAGGAAAAAAGACACAGATGAAAGTAGGAGAAAATCATTTTTATATTATCCATATTATATATTAAAAAAAAAAAAAAAAAAAAAAGTAAATTATTTTTCAGGCAACTGGTAAAAAGAAAACTACTGTTAAAAAGAGTAAAGAAAGTGAAAACAAGAAAGAAACTAGAGGACGAGGTAACAATATCGATGGAATAACTGACTACAGGTAACTTTATTTTATATTTGTATATTAAAAAAATGAATATATTTATAAATATTTTTGTTTTGTTTTGTTTTATTTTTATTACTAGTGATTCAATTCCAAATATGAATGCAACAAAAGACGCACTGCCAGTACCAGGCCAATTTGAGGATGCCATAGAAAACGGCAAAGGGATAGAAAAAGGGCAAGGAGATGCGTCACTGGTTGCTCCAGTCGCCGCTGAAAATTAGGTATTTATACATCACATTTTTATCGACTTTTAAAAATTCCCGGATGTGACTCAAGACTGCAAGAAAAAAAAACTTAGAAAAACAAATGTGTAAACGAGCAATGATGCGCCAATAACATTTGAAGGTTTTAACATAATTATTGCATATAAGAGAATTATTTTCAACATATAAAAAAAAGGAAAGGCTTATGATTTTTTCATATAAGTTTGATGCTTTAAAAAGAAAAAAAAGAGAAGAAATATTTAAACTAAATAGCCTTGAATTTTCGCACAATAAGCATTAAAAAAAACTTTTCAAATGTTACGCGCAGAATCACTCAACAATATCTAAAGCTCTGATGGGGCCAAACTAATTAAACTAATATAGGCAAAAAAGCATCGTTAATGCGATGTCAAGATATTGTAAAACTACAAGGATATAGACCCATTTTCGACGTACACGATACGATGTCCTCACTGCCAAACGTACCATTCAGTGTGTAGGATAAGAGCGAAAACGAACGTGATTTAAGAAAAAGAAGAAAATAAAAAAACAATAAAATCGTGCTTGTGCTAACACGAGCGTGTTTTTAGACTACTACTACTCCGCTCGGATCACCATAGGATGAACTCGACTGATTAGTGTATGCGTGCGCTAATTTTACTAAGAACAAGAACAAGTCGTCAGCTGCTATAAGTATTTAATTCTTAAGAAGTGTGATTATTTTTTTTACAATGAAAATATATATTTTCCGGTATTATATGAAATGCTCGCATTGATAGTCTCAGTATTCTGATCTTTGTAAACGTCCAACGAAAATCATAACTTTAAGACATCATGGACGAATAAATAAATAAAACATTTATAGATAAATCAATATAAAACAATATACTGTCGATACTTTTATTTCTGTTTTATAGATAATGCAAGGCAGGATACTGAGACATTCAGTAGCAAATGGAGACTGATGCTTTTCATATAGGTAAAATATATATTTATATATGGTTTAGATTAGAGATTCCCAATAGCATATTATATGTAAGTTGTAAATGATTGCTTGTGAGTATGTGTGTAATGGAATGAGAGAAGTACATAAAAATGAAAGAAAAATGAAAGATTGTTTTACTTGTGAAAATCGTAATGAAAGAATAAAGAGAGAGAAAGAAAATACCATAAATGCATGGTTGTAAGATCGAATATATAAAGAAACATAAGAAATGTATATAAACGTCGAATGTTAATGCGTGTCGGTTCACGTACACACGATGCATAAAAATACGAATACAATGGAGAATTGAGTGTACGCGCGTGTATGTGGCCCGAATGATATATTTATTTGTTGTTGTGTCGATGAAAAGAGGAATGAATGATTTTTGAACGAATTATAAATTTCCATGTACGATAAGAGATACAATATGTACTCATGGACACGCGGTAGATTTGATACAAGAGTAATCGGCTTGAATTTTCAAAAAAAAGAAAGACGAGGTTCTCTAAAAGAGTTATTCTTGTGAAAGTCTTTCGATGTCGCTTGGAAAATATGCTGCACTATGCGTTATTCTAATTCAATATCATAAACTGAATCATATATTAGTTAACAAAAAATAAGTAGTAATTTGTATCATGGAGAAGATCATCTCTTTTTTATGATTTCATTGAAAGCTTTTTTTTTCTTTTTTTCTATTTTTTTTTTATTTTTGGGTAAAAATTATATATATTCGTGCCTTTTGTAGCATATTTTCGAAAGAATGTACGATACGTGTCCTTCCTTTAATTGTACATACGAATAGTTACTTTAGAAGTGACAGAGTGAGGTTGGTGTAAATAAAAAAAATCTGGTGATTTTACGCTTTTATTGCGTGAGGAACCGATTCAAAATAGGAGATCATCATGTTAAAAGAAGAAAAAGAAAATACTATTATAATACTATTTATGCGTAGAATAGTCGAAAAGACATTCTATCAAAGATCATTGGAATTCGAAAGATAGATTTCTTTATCATTGAAGGATGATAATACGTATAACAGAGATACAAAATAGTATGACAGAACATGATTATTTATCAAAAGGGATGAAAATAAAAAGGAAAAAAGTAGATAAAAATGATATACGTCTAAAATGCAGAGATAATTTAAATTGAATAAGAGAGCGAACGAGAGCGAGAGAGAAAGCGATTGTGAGAGAGAAAATCATTTATTGAAATAATATAATGAAAGATAAAGATAAAAATGTTATATTTTTGTAGATTTGTTATTGCGTAAAAAAATGCATTAAGACAATGAGAAACTTTATATAATTTGAGCGACGGTTAAACTGAGCCTGAAAAAATTAAAATGAGTGACTAAGATCATAAAGAGAAAGGATATTGTATAGAGAATATGATAAAGATTTAAAAAAAAAAAAACATAGAAGAAAATGAAAAAGTGCTTTAGAAAAAATGATGGTATGTTGAACGTGTTTGACATCTACGATTTAATAAGAAAATCTTATTAATTCTTTTGTATCTCCGAAGCTCTCAAAGTTCTGAGTTGCTTGCGAACAAACATAAAATCTAAAAAAATAAAAAAATAAACAAAACAAAAAAAAAACAAATAAAACTTAAAAATAGGAAAGATATTTAAAAAAAAGAAGAAACTAAATGTCAGCTTCAATATGAGCTATACCAACATATGCATATAATAAACAGTTTTTTCAATACGATTCAAAAGAAATAATAAATAATAAAAATATAAAGAAATCAAGTGTCGTGAATGAAACTGTATAGACTAAAAAAAATGAAAAATGAATATTGTTATCATTTGATGATTTTCAATTAATAACATACACTCGCACTATCATTATTTTCCGAGTACAGTATATGATATATAAAATATGCACCAAAGTATATAAAGAAAAAAAAATGATAAGAAAAAAAGATGGCCGTGTATCTTTCTTGAACAATTTAAAATTAAAACAACGCAAATCGCTCATGAATAACTAACCAATGTAATGATAATAATAATAGTAATAATAATAATATTAATAATAAGAATAATGTTAAACTAGAAGCAGAGAGACGTTTCAGATCCGACGGATGAATAATTAAAAGTAAAATGCCACTTTACGCTTTCGTGTAAAGATAGATTTTCTTTCTCAAAAATCAATCATCTTGATATATGCAAACCGAAGAATACAAAATATACAAAAACAAAGTTAAAAAAACGATAAAAAAGACATTTAATGTATATATAGGGTATTAATGTATTTGTGATATTTTTAGAAAATTCATTCTATAGATTAAAACAAATATAAAAGTTTCTATATAAAAATTTCAGTTATAGTTATATAATTTATATATAAAATTTATGTATATAAAGTTATAAACAATTTAAATTTGCGTTAGATGAAGTGATATGAAGACAAAGTGAAACTACAGCTATAACGGAGAATTATCTCATTCTCTATTTCCTTAATGTAAACTTAGATTGTTTATAATTTAATAAATAAGCTTCAACTGAAATTTTTATATATTATTTTTTGTATTTATTTTAACTTTTAAAATTGACGTTCCTAAGATATTTCATAAATATATTAACACCCTGTATATGTATATACACATATAATATGATGGTACTCAACATAATCAGTTGCTGCTGCACTGATATGAGGTAATGCAATAAATATAAGAAATGAAATAATTTAAATGTACTAAATATTGAAGCGAAAACAAAATAAAACCGATATGGAATATAAAAAACAAAAAATACGAAAAAGGAGGAAAATAAAGAATGAATAAAAGAAAAGAAATAAATACGAAATCCATATTATTGAAAATAATGCAACAGAGCAGAAGTATCATAAAAATCATAAAACATAATATATAATGAAAAAGAAAGAAGTGAAAACTTACCTAAAAATGGTAAATAAATGATCGACATAAAAAGAACAGGTGCGCATCGTGCCTACTTTTTCGCTGTAATATGTATTAAAAAAAATAATAAACATGTAAAAAATAGGGGCCCACGAAACAATTTCAACGATAGAAAATATATCCATGCGAGAAAGTTAAACGAAATGAGCCAACACATAAAACGAATGACCTCTCTTTGTGTATTTAGAAAGTAAAAAAAAAAGGAAAATCCTATTTATCAACTCGATTTTCAAACATTGTGTGTCATTGTGCTAAACGAAAAATTAATTATATTTCGAAGTAAAGCACATCTTTAAACTCTTGCTATGTAATAATGATGATGATAATGATGATGATAATGATAATGATGATGGTGATGATTATGATGCTGGAATATTGATAATGATAAATGTTTAATTAGTGAGAAACGGAAACGAAAATGTAAATTAAGTAATTATATATATATATATTTTTCTTTTACTTTCTTTCTTTCTTTTTTTCTTTTTCTTTTTTTTTTTTCCTTTTTTTTCCTTTTTTTTTTTTTTTTTTTTTTTTTATATATATAGAAACAATTTTAATGTAAATCAATTTCCACTGGACTGTTCTCTCTCTCTCTTTTTTTTTTCTCTCCAATTAATTTCATTATTATATTTTTATTTAAACAAATTTTAATTACTCGTCAATGCAACAAATAGCTAAGCATTAAAAATAGACATGATTCATCATGTTTTTTATTATGAAAAATCATGAACACTTTTGCTGCTTCGCTATTTGTTTATTTTTTATTATTAAATTTTTTTCAATATCATTCGCTTTTCATTATTATTATTTCTTCGTTCTTAATTTGATTTGTAATCACATTGTAGTAGAGTCTTATGTCTTTTTGCGAAAATCACACATATATATGTATATGTACATAGGGGAAAATATAACATATAAAAATGGAGCGCATCATTTAATTTCAATGATTTGTCTTAAATGATTGCCACAAAAAAAATCAATGAACAATGTGTTTATATTATTATTTCACTGTATTTCCAATAGAAGCACGCAATCAATGGGCATTAAAAAAGAAAAAAAAACGTTTAACGTTTACTTCCAATTTCTCTTTTTATAAGATATGCTATATTCATGCTAGTAGATTGTCAGGATTTTCAATAGCAACACAATGAAAAAATAAACAACAATATATAATGCCCTCGATAGAATATCAGAAAAGGGAAAAGTAAAGATAATATTGAGTTGCTATAACTGTGCTCAATATATAAATTTTAAGTTTCTCTTTTTACTATAGTTTTTCGCTTACATATTCTATTAACAAGATATATTAAAAATATGGTAGCAAAGACAGTAAATAAAAAAAAGTATTAATATAGTAAAAAACCAAAAAAAGAAGTAATGAATTAAACAATTATCAATGTAGCTGCAAAATATATGTGGGCCCCGTTCTTATATATTCTTATTAAATATTATGTAATGTATATTCTGCTATTATTTTTCATAGCTAAAGAAAGCAACAAGAACAATGAAAAAAAAAAGATAATTAAAAATATCAAGTGCATACACAGAGGGTAACCATTGTATGTTACAATTTATAATCATTGTACGTTTATTTTTTTCTGTTTTTTTCTTTTTGTTTTTCTAATATGTAAGAAGACCAAATAATTGATCAAGTGTATAGCGCATGAAATAAGAACAATTTTTTACAAACAGAATAAGAAAACGCCTTCAAGATCACTTCGTATACATGGACAAAAATATACATGAAAAAAAAAAAAAAAAAAAAAAAAGGCAAAAAAAATTATACATGCGCTATAATTTTTGTCAATGGTCGCGTTATTTTCAACTTATATGAGTCGGTAAGTGGTTATTATATTTTTTGAAATGGTAGAAAATCATTAAAAAATATAACATATTTCTAATTCCTTTTCAAATTATTATTTGTTTATATAACAATGTTAGAAATAATATATGATAATTTAATGTTATATTTATATAAATAAAGTGAATGTTATTTGTATAATTTTGATATTGAAATTGAAACAAAATGATATGCAAGATTTTTGTATTCGAAAACAATATCTAATATAGAATTAATTAATAATTTGTAAATGTGTTTGGGACAGTTAGAAAATGTTGCCTGACCGACTCATGTAGTTGTATTTCTCTATAATACACAATCACATCAATGTATTCTTGTTGGATTATTCTATCTTGTAACTTATTGTTGTAACATATACCCATTCATGTCTAGTGTCAAGCAGAGCTGATTCTATGCTTTTGCTAGTTGAAAAACTGGAGGGAATATGTTTTTAAGTAAAGAAAAGAAAGAAAAGCATAGTATGGAAATTGAATGAATATTATTTATTCATGTATTTTAAAAAATGGAGCAAGTTGAAAATTTCATATTGTTGACTAATTTAAAAACAAGCATGCAAAAAATTAAAAAACAAATCATTAAAAAAGAAAAATAAACAGAATCAGTGCTGGCGAAAACACAAGGCAAATAAAAATTATTATAAATCTAAAAAAGTCATTTAAGGTACTTTTAAAATGGATACATATTTGGAAAGTAGGAGGTAATCATTGTATAAATGTAGTGGCAATTCTATAATACTACAACAAAAAAAAATCAATATATTCAACAATTATTCGAAATACTAAATGCAAAATGCACTTTAATGAATGTTATAACAGTTTAGAATATTCAAATTGCATCGACATTTTGCTGTAAATCTGTTCTTTGGAATATACTACTCTGCCAATTAAACAAAAAATATTTTTTTTCTTAAAAAAATAAAAAAAATTACTTAATAAATAATAATTATGTATTGGGAAACAAAGAGCAATCTCTTTTCTTTATCCCAATGAGCAGAGAAGTTTCTCCAATGACAGATATTTTAAGTTTGTTTCTTTTGAAGAAAAAAATATATGTATTTATCTTCATTTTTTCTTGTATAAATACAATTACACGACACACATGCAAATTAGAGAAAATGGTTCATACAGATTCTCTCTTAAATTAAAGAGAAAAAACGAAAACTTTGCATATACTGCACAGTTTGAAATAAAGGAAACAAACTTTCAGTGAAGTTTTGTAAAGAAAGCTGTTCGTGTGAGAGGTTCTCGGAGATGGTTGGCTGACATTTTCGGAAGTTCAATGATTTATTAAAAGGTGTTATCATGTCTTGAATACAATTAAAAGAATTATAAAAAGAAAAAAAATTCATCTTTTATTATTGTTTGCCATTATATGCTATTTTCAATTTAATTTTATACTTACTTT